CTACGGCGGTCCCACCGCCAACTTTAGAGGATCACCCAGCAGACCGTGATCTGGGTCTGCACAGTCTGCTCTCCACTGCAGCTGGCAATGGCCCCAGCTTCTCTCAGCCATCCATCTCAGTTGCAGCCGATCCCGCTCCGGTTGTGCTTGTCCCATTGTCCCCTTTCCATGTAGACCATGAGAATGGTGAGGGTGCGGTGGCTGAGCCAGGCCTTCTGGGCCAGCAGTTTCAACGACCAACTTGTCGGCGCAGAGCACCAGACCGGTATGGTGTGTGGGTCACTTAGCTCGATTTATCTACTATGGACAATTCCAAGTAGGACTGAAGATTCAGTTCGAGTTTTAAATCATTTCATTCTCCTACAGTCTTAGCTACAATGGTTTAAGAGGGCTGTATCTTTTTTTAATTGTTTGAGTGTTGATATAAGAAAAAAAAAGTAACTGAAAAACCTAAGGGGCTATCTACATGCACTTGTCCATAAGTTAGTTATTCCCGGTCACCATGTAATAGTTACAATTGTGTAATTTCTTTCCTACTTTACGGCACTTGAAATGCTTTATTTTGTACATGTATGTACACCGTAGTTGAGCTAATGTTTTCTTTGTCACTGGTGCACTATGCCCACCTTATATGCAGTAATGGCTAACACATTTATCTCCCCTTGTGTCTCCCGACCACGGTCACGAGACCAACGGTGAGGAATGGTTAACAATGGGGTGGCTGTAGTTTAGGAGGTCGAGCAGGTCATTGGTGTTACGACCCCTGTCTGCTCCAGTCTGCATGTCAGATATCCTTAAGCAAGATGCTAACGCCAAGTGTCTCTCTGATGCATCCATCAGAATGTGAATGTTAGATAGAAAGCGTGGAAAAGGTGCTTGTATGAAGAATCAGTCCATTTACCAAAGAGAAAGCCTTCTTCAGACAAAACCGGCTTCAGTTCATTGTTGGCTCTGGAGGTGTCACAGATTCATGCACCGTCTCTGTGGAACGGAGTACAACTGCTGCATGCAATCTGCTTAGCCACCAGCAGATGGCGCTACTTCTCCATCGATTCCTTAAACACAGACTTATCTTCTCTCATTGAGCAGGTTGTGCTGCTGATTTGTTTCCCGGGCTGCTTGAACCTCTGGTCACCTCGTCAGTGTCTCCCTAGCAAAACAAGAATAAAAACAAAAACTAATCAAAAACCAAGATATCTGAAGCTCTGTGGTGAGAAACCCTGTGTTTCAAGTTAGAGTTCCTTACGTGGTGTGCATCAGAGAAGAGGATGACCTAAAGACTGTGTCTAACACTCCTCTTAAGCATTTTTAGCACCTTGTTGGTGACACCTCTGCTCTGTTTCTGGCTTTTGTTAATAAAATCATCAGAAAGTTCCTGAAACCACTCCAATGTTGGATAACACCTCCCACCCACTCCATGACATGCTGGTCAGTCACAGGAGTCACAGTGAGAGACTGAGATTACGGAAAAGCACCACTGAACGACACAGGAAATCATTCCTGCCTGTGGCTCCCTGTACAATGCATCCACTTATATATATATATTGTACTATTCTTAGTTAGCGTATTGTCTGTCTTGTCTTAATGTCGGTTTATGTTGGTTTATAATGGAGCACTGTAACAAAAAATAATTTCCCCCAGGGATCAATAAAGTATTCTGATTCTGATTCATCTTTGTCCACCTCAGTCACATCCTGATTTCCCTCCAGATCCTCTCTGATCACGAGCAGCATGAGTACTCCAGCCTACATTGGCTACAGCTGCACTCACTGCTAATTTACCTCTGTTGTTCCAAAGCAGGGGGTCTCAAACAAAAATTAGCTGTGGGCTCTGCTGGCACTGTTATCTCATGCGAGGGCCACTTTAGTGTTCAAGCAGTAGGAAAAACAAACAAACAAGAAAACACCCACAAATATTTCAGAAAATGTAGTGTTTGTTATAAAATTTCAAATATTGTATAACATGAAAAAATCTGAACTCAATTTTTTTTCCTCCGTCTTAACTGAAGCCTTTCATTGAACTACCAAATAAACACACGGGCCATCTCTGTCTGTCCACACACGTGGCAGCACTTCTGCTATGGGGATCAGACTCTGCTTTCAGTCTGTGTAAGTATCAGGAGCAACGAGCGACCACGGCGTGGTGCCCTGGGAAAACAGAGCAGCTCCGACTTCCTGCTGGGATCAGGAATTCACACCAGACTTCAGAGCTGCCTGGTTCTCGATTCTGGATTTTTGAGAGTGTGGTGTTTGATTGTTATGATATCCATAAGCATTTATGGTCCAGCTTCTTAAATGCTTCTATTAAAATGTCCATCTCAGTCCAAGTCGACTGTATTAACTGACTCTGACGGATCCTTTTCCTCTCTGACTGCAGCAGCTGTTACCTCCTCCTCACTCTGCTCTCACTGAGGTCTCTGGAGTGTGTTACTGAGGCGTGCCACCACCATCGGTATGGTTTGGTTCTTCAGATGAACAAATACGTCTGTTTCTCTCATACATCCTTACATTCGGTGTGTCTGCTGGTATTGTGTTAGACAGGCCGGCCTCCACAGACACAGCTTTGGCCCTGAATCCTCGTAACACACTGCTGAGCTTCAGCCTTTCTTCAACTGTGAACCGTTTTTTACCTCAAAAACAGTTTCAAGAAGAGTGTCTGTGCTGGTGCAGAATGCTTCTACGTGTCTTATCGTTCTTTGCAGAGCTCTGAGCAGCCTTATCTATGAGCTCGGAGACCAGAACATCAGACTCATCCTGAAGGCTGAGTGAAGGCTGAGGTCTGCCCTCAGGACATCAGGCCGATAGATACTTCTTGTTGTTGCTGTTACGTTTAAGAACAGGGTGCCCAGCTGTAGTTTTTCATGTCCAAATCCACAAACTGGTAGACAGTGCAGCTGTGTTTCTCCTGTTTCCGTGTCCACCTGCAGTCAGCCTGGTTTAATATGAACTTCGCTGTAGATTTTATCGAGACATGCAAAATAAAAACAAATCATTTCAAAACATTTCTGCACTAAGATAAGATAAGATGACCTTTATTAGTCCCACAGGTGGGAAATTTGTTTTGTTACAGCAAAAGTGTCATGGTCCTGGTCATTTTGGCCCAGCGTTTTGTGTTTCCTTGAAGTTCATTTTTGTGCCTTGTGTTTATTCTGATTTTGTATTAGTTTAGGGTTGAACCTGTAGTTTGGTGTATATTCAGCCCTACCTGTGTCTGTCCTTGGTGCTCTGTTCATGTCCCCATGTTGTGTTGCAAATCAGTCTGTGTGTTTCCCGCTTTACTTCGAAGGCTCATGTTCTGGATTTCCTGTTCTATTCTGAAGGTCTGTTGTCATTGTGTTCAGCTTGTGTCCTCCGGTCCTCATGTGTATTAGGTTCAGCTGTTCTTCCCTCCTGTGTGTGATTACCTGATTACCTTGTGTGTGTATATTTAGTGGGTGTCGGTCTGTGTTCGTTGTCGGCTCGTCTGCGTTCTATGGTGTTCCTGTCTCTGCGTCTCTCTGCCCCGCACCCCTTTTGTCTCAGGTTTGTCACTTAGTTTCTCCCAGTTTAGGTTTCCGTTTGTCATTACTCATGCTTCGTTGCCTGTTTTTTTTGCCACTGCCACCTCTGTAAATAAACGTCACTCGAATCATAAGTTTGCTGCATTTTGGGTCCTCCTTTTCCTCCACACCACACGGCTCACTCCGCCAGCCGTGACAAAAAGTGCAAAGTTATGTAGCAGAAATTAGAAAACACTGGAATGCAATAAAATAAAATACTATATACAATAGAATAAAATAGAAATACAAATGCTATATACCACTGAGTAAGAAAATACAAAAGTACAACTTTGTCAGGAGAAGAATTGTACAAGAATTGCACATATAGCAGTCTTATTGGCTTTTAAACCCAAAACACACTCTGCCAAAAATCGGTCCACCCCAAGGATCGGGTCCCTGACACAAACAAATCATATTAATGATCAAGGAGCTGACCTCACTGCGCATTGTTCATTCAGTGGTGCTGGTTTCACTCATTATACAAATGTCTTGTTTATAAGGTTGGAAACCTGCAGTCAGCTGAGACTGTAGAAGTCACCTGATGATGATGAAACGTTTCTCCCACTGAAAATGTCTAGATCAGGGGTCCCAATCCCAGTCCACGGGGGCCGGTGTCCCTGCAGGTTTTAGGTGTGTCCTTGATTCATCACAGCTGATTTAAAAGAATAAATTGCCTTCTCAACGTGTCTTGAAGTTCTCCAGAGGCCTGGTAATGAACTAATCATGTGATTCAGGTGTGTTGACCCAGGGTGAGATCTAAAACCTGCAGGACACCGGCCCTCGCAGACTGGGATTGAGGACCCCTGGTCTAGATGAACCTTTTGGGCTGTCCACGTTTAATGGAGTGACAATAAAGAAAAGTATCTATTTCAAACTTTTTCCTCATGTCTCTCATCCCCAGAGACCGATGTTGTTCTTTTTCAGGTTTCTGCAGGAGGATATTCACTAAACCTGGAGTGTTTTCAACTAAAAGCGATGCTGCTGTTAGTTTCAGAACCTCAGACTGATGGTGAGGGAAACAGAGACCTCCGAAATAAATATAAAAAGTATATATAGCATTAGAATATCGTTGCTGTTCCTTTTTTCGTACATAAACAGGCTTCGCGTTACTGTCTGTTGCTTCACCGCCGACGGCTGCCTTTGAGACCTTCGGACACAAAAGCAGAGTTATTTGTATTGATCTTCTTTAAGTGTATTGATCTTTAATCTTCTCAGCACAGCATGAAAGAGGTGGCAAAATGTTTTCTTGCACGTTTTCAGCCAATGCTGCACCACCGATTTATATGAATATCATATTTAACGCGTTATCGGTGGCTCCTTCATTGCTGAGTTCGTGATCGGACAGACTTCCTGTGTATTGTTGAATAAATATAGACAGGTTGCGATTTCATGTTTTTTAAATACATATAGATATATTACTATTTAATTATTTTCATGTGATTTTGTTTTAGGCGCTATTTGCAGCGTCATCGTGACGTTTGACGTATGAAAGTGCGTGCTGACGCTGCGTGGGGCCGTTTTCCCTCCTCGTTGACAAAGCTGTGCGGTGGATGTTGAGCTAAAGCGCTTCCATCGCTGAACTTTCTGACTCTGTAGCTTGGTCAGTGTGGACGGAAGGCAAACAGAGAGGCGGGTGTCACATTGGTGTTAAAGGTCAGTGTCTTTTAAAACGTTTCTTTTGTCTGTCTTAGTTTTGTTTTGCTATCGTTCACTTAGCCGCAAAGCTAGCTAGCTGCTTAGCATTAGCTTGACGCAGGTAACTCGTAACAGCGATTAAACTGCGCGCCTGTAAACGTCCAGGACAACGGTGAGTTTGTAACGGGGTAATATAAACCTTTACACCGTCCTCTTCACCGGGCGACGCAGCTGTTTGGTAGCTCGGTGTGTGTCGGCTAGATTCGCTGAGCTAACTTGTTGTTAGCGGGAGCGGAAATAATGCTACATGACTTCACCTGCGGTTTGGAGCTGGTTTGGTCTGGCTCGGACTCGCCCGGTTAGGAGCCGGAATAGTACCTACTGTAAACCCGCCCAGTTTTTCCAACATTAACGTTTGTGTTTCGGATGTTTGTGACTAACCGGCGGATCAGCTCGGTTAGCCGCACGTGGAGGCGAATCGAGGTCGGCGAGAAATAAGCGATAGCGTGATAATGTGCTCACAGAAGTCATTAAAACAAGGGTAAGGGTAAACGCGTGCAGTTTCCGTCAGCTGGGGTCATTTTGTACCCGTGAAGCATTTAAAGAATTCCACCTCAAATGCTTCCTGACTGTGGATTCGTGGAGCGAGATGAAGATCAGAGGTTTGACTCATGTGTCTGTTTCCATCCCTGACAAAGAGAATAAATGAAAAACATGATATAAAACAAAACAACAAACCACAGCTGGAATCAACACCTGGCATTTCTTGTGTGTAAGAGGGTCATGAACCACAGTAAAAACAAGGTGCGAATATTGAATGAGTAAAGGTATAAAAGTCAGTGAATGTGTGATTTTCAGTGTCTCTGTAGGAGAAATGCTGTTGCATGTTCGAACATGTAGAAAGAGCTCAGAGTTAATTATCCAACACAAAGATTTGTTTTTCATCTAAAACGCATCAGAGCCGATGTGTCGTGTGTCAAATGTACTCGGAGGAGATCGAGAGCTCCAGAACACTTAACCTGCACTAAAGATGCTTTAGAACAGGAAGTGCAGTGATTTCTAATCAGGAGTGAGAGCAGTCGTTGTCCTTGTGTTCTCATCGTAACACTGTAGTCACAGGCCTAAATCACAGGATTGTGAGTACTGTTGTAATTAAATTCCTTCCCACAAACACTTGCTGAAGGGCTGTAGAGCTTTTGGTCCAAGCCTTGCAGCGGCTGAGTGTAAGTGTTGTTGTAGAGAGTAACACTGCAAATGCTGCGTCCTGCTGTTCTTCTGCCTGTAACAGCTGCTGCCTGTGCAGTTTAACAGCTGGATGGAGCTTCTGGTCTGAACCAGTGAGAGTGTAGTGTCACGGTTGGACACGCTCCTCTGTCGTCACGTCTGGGTTAAAAACAGAGCTCTGCATTTCCTCTGGTTCCGGCTCCTCCCACCATCCAAAGACGTGACACTATGAGTCATGCTCATTGGCTCTTCTAAAGTCCTCTGTGGATGTGAGGCTGAAGCCAAAGTTGTGTTTGTAAATGCGGTTTCTCAGAGCAGAAGCTGATACCGAACATTTAATTTGAGTGAAGTCAGAGAAGTTTTCCTCCTGCTGTTCAGAAGGTTTTTCCTCAGCTGGGACACTAAAGTGTCTTTAAGGCATGATCTACGCTCAGTGTGTTACCTGCAGCAGTAAACCACACCCCCAAACAGACATACAAGCTAAACCTGAAAGATCCAGTGTGGGTTTAAGTGAAGCTGTTGCTCTCCATCAGACACCATCCACAAACACGGCAGCAGAAAACAGAAGCTGCACATCTGCTGCTGCCTCGATCGGTTAGTCGACGGGACTGAAGATAAACGTTTGATCTAAACTGTACGGTGGTGTTTGTGTCCACAGAGACTTATGCTGTCCTGCTAGCAGGGCAAGATGTTCAACAAATCATTTGGGACTCCCTTCGGTGGCGGGGCGGGAGGATTTGGCACCTCGTCCACCTTCGGTCAGCAAAGTAAGTGAATTTCTTTTTGTACAGGAGCGTGAGCTCGATGCCTCGGGCGAGTCAGAAATGCCAAATATCCAAACTAATGTGGAAGAAATGATGAGAGCAGCACATCATTAGGATTTACACACACACACACACACACACACACTCACAGACAGACAGTTTTATTACGCTTCAGTTTGAATTCCTGAAGCGTAATAGAGATTCAAATTGACAAAAACAAAAGTGAAACGTCAGGAGACAGTCGATGTTTTCACTATTAGCAGACTGATCATTGCAACACGAGGGCCCGCAATAACGCAGAGACTAAATATCTCACAGATAGAAAAACGTAGTTCCCTCTGATAGAGGTGGACATGAATCATCGTGTCTTCATCTGGTCTCTTTTCTCCAGACACGGGCTTTGGGGCGGCGGGAGGCTTCGGCACGTCTGCGTTCGGGGCGACGACAAACACTGGAGGACTGTTTGGATCCACGCAGAATAAACCAGGTTTGTGTTTCATTCAGCAACAATGTTTGTGGTGCTTCAGTGTGCAGAGATGAGATTTTCCAACAACATCTGAACGCAGCTCGGCGCTGTCTGCGATGGATTCATGTGGTTTTTCAGTTTTGCTTTGTTGATGTGTGATGGGCTGCAGGACTGCAGAGAAACTGTCGGTTCAAAGCTTCCTTTCTGCTCTCGGCCTGTTCTGTACAAATCCAGTAAAATGATCCTTCAGAGGCGGCTTAGTCATGAGGGGCGTGTCTAAAGAAGGAAAGCTCGTAAGTGCTGACCTGTCCGTGTTGCTCCTTCAGGTGGGCTCTTTGGGTCCAGCACGTTCAGCCAGCCGGCAACTTCCTCCACCAGCACCGGCTTCGGTTTCGGCGCAGCGAGCGGCACCTCCACCAGCCTGTTTGGCAACACTGGCACAGGCACCACCGGCGGACTCTTCTCCCAGCAGAACAATGCTTTCGGTGCCAAGCAAGCCACCTCGTTTGGAAGTGAGAACCCTCCAAACCCTCACTCTCGTTTTCATTAAAAACGATAAATCCCTGCAGCGACGACAACAAGAAAATCAGAAACCTTAAAGAACAAAAAGCATGTTTACAGTTTGATGTAAATATGAGAAAAATGACGTTGTTGTGGATTTGAAGCAGCTGCTCCGACTCTCCATCTGTTCGGCCTGTAATGACGTGAACTCTGTCTCTTCAGGCTTCGGGACGAGCACCAGCAGCAGCGGCGGCCTCTTCGGCTCCACCAACACCACCTCCAACCCGTTCGGCGGGGCTACGTCCCTGTTTGGAGGTTCGGGGTTCTCCGCCACTCAGCAGCCGGGAACGACCGTGAAGTTCAACGTGAGTGACTATTCTTCCCTTTAATCGTCTTTCTGCTCCTCAGACACTAAACGTCTCACTGTTTTTATGCTCTGTGTTAAATTTGTTTTCCCTTCTTCAGCCTCCGACAGGAAGTGACACAATGGTGAAGGCGGGCGTGACAACGAGCATCAATACGAAGCACCAGTGCATCACTGCCATGAAGGAGTACGAGAACAAGTCTCTGGAGGTCCGTTTTCACTCGGCGGCTCTTAAACGCAGCCACTAAAAACTCAGTTTTGTTGTTTGACGATGTTGTTTCTTCCTCTTCCTGCAGGAGTTGAGGCTGGAGGACTACCAGGCGGGCAGGAAAGGCCCAACCAACCCGATGGCCCCGGGAACCGGCAGTCTTTTCGGCCAGGCCACGGCCACGCCCAGCGCCACCACCGGCCTCTTCGGATCCTCGGCTCCCAACACCAGCTTCTCCTTCGGCCAGAACAAGAGCACCTTCGGAGGGCGTAAGTAGCTGTGATGTAGAGCCCACAAACAATAAGTGTTGATGACAGCAAGTGAAGTGACGTGCGTGTCTCTGTCTGTTCAGCAACTACCGGCAGTTTTGGCGCGACCACAGGCGGCCTGTTCAGTCAGCAGACCCAGCAGCAGGCCGGCAGCCTCTTCAAGCCCTTTGGTGCGACCACCACCGCCCAGAGCACCGGCTTCTCCTTTGGAAACACCAACACGATAGGACAGGCCAACACCAACAGCATGGTGAGATTAGCTCTGCTTCACTGTTCCTGACACATCAGGTTGAGTTTGATTGCTGCTCATTTTCACACAATTTCACTCCTGCATCCACAAAAAGTAAAGACTTGCAGGTGGAAACCAGCAGACTCGGCTTCACTTTGATTCAGTTTCATTAGCAGCCAAATCACACGCTGTCGTCCAGTGATGGGAATAACGGTGTTACAAGTAATGGTGTTACTTTTTTCAGTAACAAGTAGTCTAACTACTTACTATTTCTATCGTTACAACGGCGTTACTGTTACTAACAAGAAAATGCAGCGCAGTCGCGTTACTGTTTTTCAAGAAACAGACGGTTGAAGCTGTGTTCAGCTGGTTCAGCATCTTATATCAGCTGCAGGGAAGTAGCTGTAAGTAATCTGGATGCTGCAGCTTTAAGCAGCTGCGCGCTCCTGCGATCACTTTCTGCCCGACAACCACTTTTTGGCACAACACCTGGAGCTCAGGGGGCAAAACAATCACATGCTGTTTGACTGAGGAAGAATAAAGTAGTCGTGGTAAGCCAATCACATGACCACTTCAAGATGACAAAGCAACACGGTGATATATACCACAGTCATGATAAACGTGTTTTTCCTCAATAGTTTCGTCACATTTCTCTAAGGACAGCGCAGCGAGCACGCTCCGCCTATGAGCAAAATAAACAAAACAAAAACAGCCCGTTGGTGGAAAATGCACCATGTCGACCAATCAAAACATGATATGGCAACATGACATTTTGTGTGGCATCTTGTTGAATGCAGAACAGCTGATTGTTCTGTAAATGGTTTGAAATGGTTAAAAAAAAAAAAAGGGGTCAAAGGTAAATGGCTGCAAATAACTTTGTTTGCAAAATGTCTGGATATGATTTTAAAACTGACAATTTATATTTGCATTTTAAGTTATGAAATATGATCAATAAACATGTTTGGTTGTTACAGTAGAAAAATAACTTTTTCTACTTGGATCTTATGTTTGTCTGATGTTAGATCAATTGTGTAAGTACAGTCTGTCAAAATGAAAACATGACTGTAAATTCAGACACGTGAGGTTGTGCTGAAAAGGATGAGACCAAACAAAGTAAATAGTTTTTAAAGGTGAAACGTGGAGGAAACATCAAAACTAGTCAAAAATGGCTGATTATACCCTGGACCCCAGAGGGTTAAACGTTTTTTTATTTAATTTAAAGTAACACAATAGTTACTTTACAACTAATTAATTACTTTTAGAATCTTGTAACTCAGTTACTTTTTTGAAGAAGTAACTAGTAGCTATAATGAATTACTTTTTCAAAGTAACTTGCCCAACACTGCTGTCGTCTCAGTTTGACTTTCAGCTGCCTCTGCGTTGGTGCGGTGCAGCATGTTTTCTCTTGACTCTGAAGCTGTTTGAAGTCACAGTGAGGTTGTTTGGATGTTTCTTCAGGGTTTGTTTGGGAACACGGCGGCGTCTCAGTCGGGCGGCTTGTTCGGCTCAGCGCAGACCAGCACCGCCACTGGTTTCGGGACAGCCACGGGCCTGTTCGGCCAAACCAACACTGGATTTGGGAATGTCGGCACTCAGGTTGGGATCAGAGCAGACCCATTATTGTCCAGTTGTGTGTGTGTGTGTGTGTGTGTGTGTGTGTGTGTGTGTGTGTGTGTGTGTGCACGCGCCCCCGGCGTGCAGCAGCTCCTCCCCTCATCAGATGTTTCCTCATCAAACTCTTGTTTGTCATGGCAAACAACTCTGTGTCCATACAGTTTGAAGTGAAGCACAGTCTGATTTCAGTCTGAAGGACACGGCGCTTCGTTCGTGTCCGGCCTGTGTGCGATTGTATGCTCTGCTGTTTGTGAGGACAGTTTGATATAAAGAAGCAACGACTTATTCTTTATTCTATGAAAGCAGGGAAAGGGATGGATGATCAAATGCAGCAGGACGTGTGCTGCAGAGTTTCAACCACATTTACAACTAAAGATAGAAGCTCAATAACATAGATTTTAATGTCTTTACTGGCAGAAGTTAGCAAGTCTTTTAAAAACCAACACGTTTAAGCATCATCCATGAGCAGAGCTGCTGTTACTGGTGTGGATTAACAATCTGTGAACTCTGACCTGTTAACGGTAAAATAAATCAGCGATTATGGTGTGTCATAGTGAAGTGACAGGAGGACAAAACTGTAAAAAAAATAACTTATCATTTACTGATCTGTTTAAAGCTGGGTTGCAGCTCAGTGTGAGAGTCTTACCCTGCACCCTCGCTGTTACCTTCTTCCACACTGTTAGCGCCAAACATCCCAAACCACGAGGTTAAAGCAGAGTTAACGGGTGCGCCTGTTTTCAGGAGGATGCCTTTAATGACTCGAGAACACACACGCACGTAGGAAAATATTTAGTATACACATCCAGAAATGCATACACTATTATATATTGTACATATATTTATTAGTTTCAGGTTGGCCATTCTTGTATTTTGCTCGTTTGTGTTGTTGTGTTTGCACATCTCTGTTGCTTGTGGGGCTCGCACACAAGAATTTCACTCGCATGTGCTGTGCCAGTGTGCCTGCACATGTGATGTGACAATAAAAAGTGATTTGATTTGATTTGATTTTGAACAAATATCCCAGAGCACGCGGGGAAGCGCGTGTATTTCCAGGCAGATGCTTCTTTGAGCACTCGCAGCTCTTTTGTAGTCCTGAGGCTGAGTTTAAGTTTGAGTGATAAGTTTCAGGTCCTTTACGTATCCTGTGACTTTGGCTTCTGCAGCAGAGTTTATTCGGTAACAAGACAGCCGGGTTCGGCACCACCACCACCAGTGCCCCGTCCTTCGGCACCACCTCCGGCCTTTTTGGGAACAAGCCCACCCTCACACTGGGAACCGGAACCAACACCTCCACCTTCGGTAAGTCAGCTGAAAATATGTGACGATGTCAAAGTTTCTGCGCCTCCGGCTCTTCAGCTCGTCCTGTTTGATTGTCTGGCAGCAGGTTTTGGTGCAAACCCTGCTGGAGGAGGACTGTTTGGGAACAAGTCCACCACTGGAGCGCTGGGGACCGGACTGGGAACCAGCTTCGGAACAGGTAACAGACCCAGCAACGGTACCCAGTAACTGCCTTGTTGCTTTAACTAGGACACTCACCTCTGCTCAGTCAGCCAGAAAAAAACTAAACAGTCAGTTTGTCCACATCCGTGTGTCCAGCAGTCGGCCCCGGGCAGACACTGTTTGGCAACACTCAGAACAAACTGGGCACCACGCTGGGAACGATGGGAACGTTCGGAACAACTGGGTTCAACAGTGGAACGAGCACCCTGGGATTCGGAGCGACGCAGCCCGTCGGTGAGCGGCCACATGTTTTAGAGATGAGGACAGATTGATGCTGTTAAAACGTCATCATTTAGTTCGTTCATGTTTGTTTTATGCTGCTGGTAAAGATGTGACTGTTTCACGTCCCCACGGGCACACGTGAAGCGTTAACGTCTTCTCATTTCCAGCCCTCACAGATCCCAATGCAGCGGCTGCCCAGCAGGCCATGCTCCAGCAGCAGCTCAGCGTGCTGGCGTACTCACCATACGGAGACTCGCCGCTCTTCAGAAACCCGCTCTCAGACCCCAAGAAGAAGGAGGAGGTAAGGGTGGCGTAGCCGATGAGCTCCAGCTGCTCATGTACGAAGTTATTTTTAAATTGTATCGAGATCCAAAGATGAGGATTTGCTTCCAGTTTTAACTTCACGGCAAAGAAGCCGCCAAACTCGAGCTTCTGCCCCACAGTAGGCTACGTCCACACTTACCCAGACAAATTTGAAAGCTGTGTTTTCATTTGAAAACGCTCCACACTTTTCAGTCGTCTTCACAGAGTTGTGCGTCCACATCGAAATGGCCAAAAACGCTGACGTTCCAGTGTTGCGCATGCGTGAAATGTAAGAAGATTCGACCTGCCTCATTTCTGTCTGCCGCTTATTTACTTTCTGGCTCTTTGAAAGTTTTTAAATGGACTAACAATGAGGTGGAGTTGTTGCTGCGAGTAACACAAAAGTGCAAAGTTGCAAAGTGAGTGAGAATTTAAAGGATTTGAAGAAAAGCTCTCTGAAACACGTGCAGACTGATGTTGATCTTTAACAGGGCCGTCAAAACTGAGAGCAAACAAAACAACTGCTGTGTAATGCCCTCTGCTGTCTTAGTTTGTCACATGACTGCATCATATGACTAAAATGTGTCATTATTTTCGAGAAGGCTCCGGGTTTGCTGTCCACACTGCAATGCAAACACAGCGTTTTCAAATGTATTCGCTTTGGAGAGCATCTTCAAAACGCCTCAGTGTGGACGGGAGGCAAAAACGCAGAGGAAAAAGATGTATCAAACAAAAACATTAGTGGGAGTAGGGCTGCCACCAATCGTTGACTATCAAAATCGTCGACCATTAATTTAATAGTCGACGCGTCGTTTGAAGCTTTGTAAGATCCCAAAAGACGCAGGAATAAGTAGCAGGATTTAAGAGTAATAACGGACTGAAACAGAAGATGGCAGAACAGGCGTTTCCGCCCAGCACGCCGTGTAATAATTACTCACAAAGAAAACGGCGCCGTTACAACTTCTGTCTAAAAATGTATAGTTTCATACATCGTTAAAACACTCGACTCCAGCTACGCGACGCCCAGCTGGAAACACTTCGGGCAAGTCGAGCTGCCCGAGATTCACAGAATTTACAGAAAATGTTACATTTTTGTGAATTATATCGTTATCGGACGATAGAAGTCTTATATCGGGAAATGAGATTTTGGTCATATCGCACAGCCCTAGTTGATGCCTATTTTAATGTCTATTAGTGCCTCCCTTCTGTCTGTGCTAGTGTCCGATCTGTACTTAAAATGACTTGTGTTTTTTCTCTGTATTACTGTGAAGCACTTTGGTGAGCCTTCAGGTTTTTACATGTGCTATATAAATAAAACTGTATTGTATACCATATTTTTTGCACTATATGGTAGGGCTGTGCTGTTCTAACGTTTGAGTCTAAGGTTTATTTTTTAGCACCTGACGGCCCTTTTTTGCTTCTCCTCTGTAAACTCTCTGCATCCTCTTTCACGTGATTCAGTTTATTTTGAAAAGTCTCAACAGGATCTTGAACTTTATTGTGAAAGGTTTATGTGGAACATAAACAAGCGGACATGCGATGCTGTTACAGTTGTTGTTGCTAACGACAACGCATAAAAACAGGCGCTTGTCCGTCCGTAGTGTGGTTATATTAAATATAAGAGAAAGAGAGAACTTTAAGAAATGAATATAGCCACTACAGTGACATCAGAACCATGAAAAAATATTGCTGTGAACAGTTTATTTTGTGACACCACAAAACAAACGATAGCGTAAAATGAAACGATAGATGTTTTATATCGTCATCCGATATACATCGTTATATGAACAGCCCTACTATAAGGCGCACTTAAAATCCTTTAATTTTCTCAGAAGTCGACAGTGTGCCTTATGTATGAATTCTGGTTGTGCTTACTGACCTTGAACCGATTTTATGTGGTACATGGTGCACAGCAATCAGTCAAACTGTTTTAGTACAACTTTGCTAAGCTACGAAGCCGCGCCACTTGATGGATTGTCGGAGCATTAGGGCTACCGTAGTCAGGAGCCTCGCTGAGGAATCTGGGTCCTAAACTCCGTTTACTTCTGGTCCCAAAGTCAAACGAACACTGCAGCATCACTAAGAGTTTAAAAACTGTCTAAATTCTTTCATCTTTGACAAAATGATCAGCGTTCTGCTCCACCAGGTGTAACATCCAGGCATCCATGAAAACCGAATTTATTACATTTAACAGAGTTAGAAGTTAGCAGGAAGTTAGCTCGCTAGTTTCCACCTAAGCATGATATAGCATGTTCTGACTGAGATTTATGAAAAATTCAAACGTACAGCTCTGCTATCACTTCCAACATAAATGAAGACAGAAAACTAAACAGCAGTGACGTTTGTAGGGTTACTGAAGTTGGGCTAGCTGGTATATAATGATGTGCTACGTGACCGCTAGCGACACAGCTATGTTAGCATAATATAAATACGCTAACTTTTTTCCACTGGATAAAAGTTAACATGAGGGTTCCCGATGGTCAGGGACAAATGCAGTCGCATGGCAGGATGCTGTAAAAGGACCAAACTTCAGTCAGGAGAACAACTGAGATAATCCATGATGACACCATCAACTTGTTATTGTGGTATAGTAAAAATCTCTGTTTAGTTTATACCGCCCACCCCTAGTTTCTTTTGCTGCCGTCACGGCGGTTTCACTTCCTCGCTGTCGGTACCTCGTCTAAACAAACCATTGGGAGGCTCCGCCCCTCACAGGTGACGGGAACGTAGAATTTATTACATAAAGTAATACAAAGCTGTGAGGTAAATTGAAATCTGCATCTCTTCTTTGTTCTGACAGCGCCTGAAACCGACCAATCCGACGGCTCAGAAGGCTCTGACCACGCCCACTCACTACAAGCTGACTCCGCGTCCTGCGACCAGGGTGCGGCCCAAAGCGCTGACGTCTTCCGGAGCCTCCAAGTCGCAGCTTTTTGACGGCCTGGATGACGACGAGCCGTCGCTCACCAACGGAGCCTTCGTGCCGAGGTACACCTCCGCTCGCCACGCAGCGGCAAAGTTAAATATGACTGTGCGCATGCCGACAGGTAACGCTGTCCGTTTCCTCCACAGGAAGAGCATCAAGAAGCTCGTGCTGAAGAACCTGAACAACAGTCAGTACAGCAGTCCTCTGAACAAGGAGAGCGACGACCTTGCCTCGCCGTCAGAGTACCCACAGAACGGACACAGGTCTCGCCACGTTCCTATTGGCTGTCACGTCTCTGAGAGTCAAGTGTAACATGACCGTAGAAACTGCAGCGCTGATTTAGGCGTGAGCCACTTTGACGTTTCCTTTCTCTCTCCTCCCCTCGCCATGTTCTCCTATTGCAGCCACGTGGAGGAGGAAGAGGAGCAGCTGAGGAGGGTGGCGGGCCCCGGCAGGCGGGCCGACGACGACCCGGAGGTCACTCAGTTCTACGTCAACCCCATCGCCAAGCCAATCCCACAGGGCCGCGCCCACGCCAGCCTGCAGACACCATCAGCGACCTGAACATGCACAAAGGCTCGAGGAACGGCCTCGAGGTCAGAACCAGAACAAACATCACCGCCTCCCCAAGCGTGTCGTCGCTAGCAGAGAACGAGCGCCACAATAACGTAGTTACGATATCGGACGATGAACTAGCAGCTGTGAGATTTAACCACGAACACGAAACTAACCGCCGATTTAAGTTGAGCTGCAGAATCAGCGGCACAAATAAATCAGTGTTCGAGTCCCGAACATCAGCTGAACAAATTAGAAACATTAATCCCGTTTTGCAGCTCCTCGTTTTCTTCACTGCTTCTGAACTTTTACATTTTGCTGCCACCTAGTGGCCCGAGGCGGCACAGCACGCTAGAATCACGGCTAATTCTGAGCTTTTTGTTTTTTCAGCTGAGCAACGATGACGTGTCTGCGTCCTTCGGCGAGGAGTCTCTGCAGGAGGAGCGAGAGGAGGAGCAGCAGCTGTCCCAGCAGTCTCCGCACCCTGCAGGTAACTGAGCGTGCTCGCTGATTTCAGCTTCCGTCTGCATTTCCTTTGCTGGACGGTAAAAGACGCGCGTTTGCTTTCCTGTTTTCAGGCATCGTTCTGAATCGTGTGGGCTATTACACCATCCCCTCCATGGACGAGCTCGCCGACATGGTGGACGAAAACGGGGAGTGCACCGTGGAGAACTTCACCATCGGCAGGAAAGGTACCGCCTGCGCACGTGTGATGTCATACTTCAGTCGCACGCTAACAGGTTTGAGCTGAAGTCGGCTCTGATTGGACAGCTGTCTCACCGCTCTTCACCGATCTGCTTTTCCAGGTTACGGCTCCATCTTCTTCCCCGGCGAGGTGAACGTGTCGGGACTGAACCTCGACGAAATCGTCCACTTCAGACGCAAAGAGGTCATCGTGTACCCGGACGACAAGAGCAAGCCGCCGGAGGGGGAGGGGCTTAACAGGTGAGCGACAGGAGATGACGGGAAACCTTACAAACCAAAACGAACATCTCAAAGGAAAAAAGATTTCAGTTTAAAAACAAGCTAACTTACAGGATTCGTTCACCTCATTTTTCTAAAACTAAGGACGGCGCTCGCTGCTGGCCAGCGAGAAGAAAAATCCACCCTTCCCTATTGGTGGAAGAATTTAGCGTATCGACCAATCACAAAATGATATGGCAACATGTGACATCTGGTTGTTTAGGAAGAGGAGGAAGTTTAGGGGACAGAGTTTTGAGATGTGTTGTTCAGCGTGTGAATGTGTAGTTAGTGTTTCGTTGTGTACTTATTGTTTCGACGTGCACAACAAAGCAGTCGGCAGCACCGCACTCTGAGGCGACTGCTGAATGTCACCGTTCTGCCAAAAAGCCACCGAAGCAGATTATGATGTAAACACTGCCTCCAGGTGGGAAACAGGAAGTGATGTGCTCTTCTGTCCTGTGACGCTTTCATGGAGTGGCACAAATCACGTGTGTGGCAGAACACGGAGTTGTTCTATAATAGGTTTAAATGGTTAAAACACTTGAACTGCATTTTTAGATGAATGGATTTATGGAACTTGTTTGCATTTCAAGTCGAAACCATGAAAATGGTTTGTTAAACGTGTTTGTGGTTGTTAGAGTAAATATTACTTTTTCCTACTTGGATTTTTGTTAATGTTAAATGAAAAATGATACCAAAGGAAGCGAACAGTTCAACAGTAGTCGAAAACGTGCGATCATACCCTCGACCCCACAGGGTTAATCAACCTGTGGCGTTCTGCCTCTGCTTCCTGTCCTGATGTGGATCTGTGTTTTCGCAGGCGCGCGGAGGTGACTCTGGACGGCGTTTGGCCGAACGACAAGACTGCGTGCACCCAGATCAGGAGCCCGAGCGTCTGAGCGACATGAACTACGAGGGCCGGCTGGAGAAGGCGTCGCGCAAGCAGGGAGCTCGCTTCCTGGAGTACCGCCCTGAGACCGGGTCCTGGGTGTTCGAGGTCAGTTTCAGATTAAAGCACGCTCGCTGCCTGCTGCTGTGGAGCGACACCTGTTGATCTGATGAACGTCAGCACCGTCCTCGTTCGTTGATGTTTGAATGTTTTCAGCAGGTTCAGATCCACAACACTTAGATAAAAATGATGGAGTCACTTCTGTTTGTGTGGTTCTCAGGTGTATTTGACTCCTCCCCCTCTTTATTCCTCAGGTGGCGCACTTCTCCAAGTACGGCCTGCAGGACTCGGACGAAGACGAGGACGTCCCGCCGAAAGCCGAAGCCAAGAAGCTGAAGACGCTCCTCCTCCCGGCTGCAGCAGCAACAGCTTCCCCCCTCTCAGCAGCAGGTGGGCCACAGGCTCAGGTAGAGCAGCCCGCGCCCTCCCACACTCACCCTCCTCCTCCTCACTGATGCCACTGATTAAGGAGCGCTTCACCAATGGTGTGCTTGCAGATAACCAGACGTTTCTGTCTTTTGTTTTTTCTTTTTAAAGTTTGAAACTTTTGATTTTGATCATTTTCACTCGGAGCAGCTGTGCAGCGTCAGCGCTCTGCCTGATGTGGAACCAGTTCCACCAGTGGCTCTATAAAGTCACCACTGATTCGTGGATGCAGATTACACATGACCTGATCTCGCATATTAATCATTTGGGAAATGTTGGACAAAGGCAGAACTGGCTCCACGGCGCCGCTGCGAGCGTGTGACGCTTTAAATCCTTTTACTGTCAGACGTTTATGAGTGAAGGAGTTGTGTGCATAAAGGTCAAAGGTCAGGAACAGAGCCCATAAGAGCCGCTTTGAGCTGCTGTAATGAAGTCTGAGAATAACGAGACGCATTCAGGAGTTTACAGGATTAACGAAGGAGTTCAGCGTTACGATGAAGAAGGGCGAAGAATGTCGAGACAGAATCCAAATATTTATATTCAAGCAAAACTCACTTTTTTTTTACCATAACTGAGAAACAGAACAGACATCTCTTCATGTTCGGCGAGCGCTGCGCTAGTCCGAGGGTTTCCAGAACTAAAGATCGCAGGCGCTCGATTCTCCGAGATCAGAACAGACGACAGGCTTATCACTGTGAGAGGGTCGCGGTGAAAGGTCGGGTCAGCCTTACAACCAGAAGCCGTGAAGTAGAAGAAAAAAGGGCGTTTCAGGTAGAGTTCCGGGATTTAAAGTTGTCAGTTTTCTTTGTGGCAGCGCCGGCGTCCATGCTCTCACTCATCTACGCAACGTTTTGCTGTTTTGTGTTTGTGATGTTTAGACGTGACAGACTGTTTGATCTTTGTAAACAACTCAGTTTATCATGAGGGAGATTTTATAGAAACCTGATTTAAATTGTGACAAAATGTAACATTTCTCGTTGAAATGAATGAAACAATAAAGTTAATGAGACATTTGAACTTTGGTCTGTAAACTTGTGTGAAGATGGTCGTTACTCCAGAGAGAAGCTCAGCTCTGATTGGCTGATAAAGAGGAGAACCGCCTGTTTTATTCCGCCGGTTTGACAAAAATGTTTTTTGGGCTGTTTGTCGGTGAGCGCTCGGCTCGATTCAGAGATGGTTTTATTTTTACTCATCTGAACGTCTGAGGTTGGAACACGACGCACACGGACAAGAAGACGTTCAAAGTTTTGTCCAGGATCCGACATGAAAGGTGTGTTAAGTAACAAAACCAAGGTAACACATAGAGGCGGGGCATCAGGTGGCACGATCTCTGAACTCCGCCACATGTCTATAAAGAGCACGCTCTGTAACTCTGAATATGAAACTCTGAGAACAGCAAATCACTGCCATGTCTGTTTGCCTTTAGGCATCGCCATCATGGAGCACCAGGGCGGCGCCATCGAGCTCGACAGCGACATGGCTGACATCACCCAGAGCTTCCGACAGAGAGCAGCTGGGAGGAGAGGAAGACTGCGACTGCTGGCGTGCGAGACGGACAGACGATCTCCAAGCTCGGCGGTCTGGCCTCCTCAGAGCTCGACGGCGTATTGCATCCGGAATAGTCTACACTGGGGATCACCCACACAGCTCAGGTACAGCTATGAGCTCCGCCACAGGAAGTGATCACGGGGCCTGTTTGTTTTTTTTTTATTTTTTTTATTTTAAAGACCAAATGGTGAATAATGTATTATAAATTATCATAATAATGTTTATGAATGGTCCATGATGTGTGACTGGCAGGAAATGGTTTTGGAGTCACGTGGCGATCCGCTCTGACTCTTTAGCAAATGTTTAACATGTTTCAGAAGTGAGATGCATCAGGGGGTTACGAGGCAACAGAGCCTTTTACTTCACTCTGCGTTTGTCTGTTCAGTAAAATGTCTGTCTTCAGATATGAAGGCGTCTCTGTTTGCTGAGGACGACGATGACAGCGAATGTTCCACGATCACGCGGCGATGAAGGTTTCCACGGACGTCTCGTCTCCTCGCTCGTCCTGCCGGCGCTCAGGGCCGACCTCTGGTATGAAACGCTGCTCTCACACGATGTTTTCATCAGTCTGTTAACAGGCTTCAGTAAAAATGGCGGCGACGTAATCAAACTTCTGTCTTCTGCAGTCGGCGGTCTCCTTCAGGCTCGTTCACTCGGGCCTCTCTCAGCTGTCAGACTCTCCCGCCCTCTTCCTCCATCACGGCCGTTCCAGCCAGCGTTGAAGCCCCCGCTCTCTGCAGTGGGCGGGGCTGGCCGTCCCCTTCACGCTGCCCTCCGGATCGGAGCTTCATTTAGGACGGTTGGCGTTCGGCGGCTCGGCGGCCCGTCCCCTCAAAGAGTCGATCACTCACGGGAAGGTTGGTGCTCAGGAGGTCGGCGTTTCCTCTGAAAACACTCGAGTGCTCAAAGTGACGGTCACATGTCACTGAGTCCTGTTAACGCTTAAATCCAGTTTAGAGGTCAGAGGTCAGAGTCTGTAAAGCATCATCTTCATGTGAACGGCAGGTTCTCCGAGAGGAGACAAGTTCTCCCTAAGCTCAAAGTCGGGCCGCTGTTTTTCAGGGAGGTTTACTCATGGACACCGGGCTGTTCGCCGTGCGCTCCTTCCGGGTCGGGTGGGGTCCCGGCTGGACGCTCGCACACTGCGGCAGCGGCTGAGCTCGCCAACGTCCAAGCAGTTCGAGCACCAAGAACTGATGGCAAAGACTGACTTCAGCTTCCTGCCGAAACCTGCCAGGAGCAAACCGTAAGAGCCACGAACACGCCGCACGCCAACACATCAGCCAGGCTGCGTCTATAGTTACCATGACAACATGGCTCCATTATGTGAGGTGAACCGTACAGGCACATTTTCATCTGCCTGTACGGTTCACCTTGATGTAATGTGCCGTCGATCTTAAATGGTTTTACTTCCACGGCGCGCCCCTCCTCCTCGCCGGCGAGGAGGAGGGCGCGCCCTCCACAGATCAGCTCCATTAAACTGCTTGATTTGGTTCTGCAGACTCACAGAAAGCCCTACAAGGTAGTGGTGGAGCAGGTGGTGGGTCTGGAGCCTCCCAGAGGGAAAACCATTGAGAAGAGGAAGATGAAGCGAGCCAGGTGGTGCTGCAGCGCCCCCTGGAGATCTGCCTGAAGCACAGCATCGTGGAGGTCCCCAACAGCTCCGCTTGCCCTGCGGTCGACCACAGCCCGGCGTGGCGGCGCTGCACGAGTATGCCGAGTGGATCGCCGAGCTGAAAGACAGACGAGGCGACACTGAGCGTAAGTGATGACATCACAGCCGAAAGATGACGCGTTGGTGTTGGCGCGTTTAAACGCTCTCTCTGCTGCAGCGCTGCTGGGGTACTGGGCCGAGTCTGGACTCTGTGTGCGGCGCTGGTGGCCGGCTGGGCCCCTCGGATCAGGAGGCCGAGGTGCTCAGCGAGTACGAGCAGCAGCTGGAGAGGAGGCGGAGCTTCTCGGCCTGGCTGTCCGCGGTGCCTCCCACAGGGTGGAGGAGGTGGCTTTGCGGGAAAGGTCACCATGTCGACGCGGTTTCAGCTACCTG